TGAGGCGATGCGCCCAGTGAGGGCATTTGTTCTGCAGTGCTTGTGCTACAATATTATTTTTGGCAATGACTAAGTGGGCACCCTTAAGCACTGGCCCTTGCTGGAGTTGGCAGGCATGTATTTTAGGGCCCCCTTCAGACAGCAAAATGGAGGGAAATGGAATGAAAAGCAGGGAGGAGACTTTGGAAGAAGAATTCAGCAGAATGACCCATTCTCCCTTCCTGGATTCCATGTCCTGCATTCCAAATTCCTTCTCTGCTCCTCCAGTTGTGCTGAGTCAGGTGTTTTATACCCTCCCCCCCGCACCCTGTCTGAGGTAAAATCTGCTTCTGAAATGCTGAATGATTTCCAAGCTAGTGTGAGCACTGCAGGAACAGGCAGTTTGTATGTAGAGAAAGGCTGGAGTAAAGTGGCAAGGGCTGGGGAAGAGATTCAATATTGTCTGCATTTTAACTTCTTCTTTGATACAACGTGCAAACCGAAGCACAATTATCCTTAAAAATCTGCACAACGCTGATTTTTAAAATTCAGTTCTCCAGCCAAACAACGTGTGCAAAATCACACATTATGGGGAAGTGTAAATGAAAAATGAATATGTTACTGGAGATAGCATAAAAAAATGCATTATATTAGGGGAAATAGTCTTGCAAAAAATGTGTGTACTAATAAAAACTAATCTGCACTAAAATACAAATGATTTTCATGATAATTTAAAAAAATATATATCACAGATTGCTGCAGAAATGTGGAGAACTGAATTTAAGATTTTTTAAAAGGGAGAAAATGAAAGGGGAGATTCATTTATCCCTAGACAAAACACATGTTATGGGTCTACCTAAAACTACTTTATTAATAGAAGAGTCCCAAAAAACCTTTTTTAAAAAAGAAAGTCTGGATTTAGGTGATTTAACAGCACTATTTGTTAATAATAGGTTTTCTCCAGCTGTTACTTTAAAATTACTTAGAGCAATGGTTTTGCCTCCCACAAGAGGTAATGATGGCCTCCAACTTGGGTGGCTTTAAAAACAAGAGTATTAGACAAATTCACGGAGCATAAGACTTCCAGTGGGTACTGGCCACAATGGCTAGCCAGTGTGCCTCTGAATACTAGTTTTTGATGGGGAGCACCCTGTTGGGCTCACGTCTGCTTGGGGCATCTGGTTAGCCACTGTGAGAACAGGATGAAGATGAGTCTTTGGCCTGATCCAGCAAGGCTCATCTTATGTTCTTATGGGAGGAAGGGCAAGACAGAAATTAAATTCATTGATTTTCTTAAAATGTTATTTATTTATGTGACTCTATTATTGTGTTGACTTACTGAGATTTTGTTCTCAAAGGAAAGGGAAAAATGAATACTTCTCTCAAACCTGTCCCCCCTTTCTTTCTTTCTGTCTCTCTCTGTCTCTCTGTCTCTCTCTTTTCTAAGCATAGGGGACATCGACCAGTAAAAGACTGAAATGCTTGCAACAGGCACTTTGAAGCTTTCTGTTACATTTATGTCCATGATGTAAACATTTTTTTGGATGATAAGCTTGTGGGGCAGATACAATCAACCTGACAGAAGGAGGGTCCATTCATAGTCTGAAGCGCAATTGCAAGGCTCCATCTCGCACGCTGCCTGTGTCAGCAGAACAAGAGAAAGCCAAATAGATTTTGCCAGAATGCAAAGGCTCTATCCCCGTCTTGTGATTCATTCTATGAATCTGACATCAGAGGTCCATGAATAAGGAATCCAGACAATGCTCAGGGTAACGCTTTGTGGCTGGTGTCCTCATTGTTGAGAAACGAGCATAGATTTATTACAGATCCCCGTTGAGAGTTTTGTTGCTCAAATCCTCAGTAATATTCTAAATAGTTAAAGGACCTATCAGTGTGCTCGTTCGTCTGGATTGAAATTGGCTCATTACACTGTAACAGGCTTAGTAGTGGTGGGTGAAAGTTAGAGTGGGGGTGGCCGCAGCTGAGGACCCCTTTCTGGGGCTACTTTGGTAGTGTGGTTGCTACCACAGAAATTCCAATGCCAACATTAGGCCTTAACACGGAGGGGTGGGCTGCTTCTACATTTCCCAAGCAGGTAACCCTAACACCACTCCTAAAAATGAAGAGAGATCTTGTACTGAAAGGATGGGGAACCTTAGACTTAGGGGTTGAATGCAGCCTCCCAGATCTCCCTATCTGTCCCTCAGGATGTTCTGCAAGATGCACCCTTTTCTCAAGCACTCACCTCTCACTATTCCTGATCCAAACACTACCTGAGAATTGTTTTGCCTGGCTAAAATGTGTTGTTGAGCTGTAATTATGCTTCTTGCTTGTGTTGTTGGAGCGATTCTCTCTCTCTCTCTCTCTCTCTCTCTCTGACATTTGTGTGACCATAACATAGCCTATTCTACAAAGATATGAATTGCCTCCATTGTTCTACCCACTTTCCCCTCTGCCTCTGCCCACCACTAGAGGGTCCTACTGAGCATAAGGTGCCATGGATGTTTCAGGCAGGACAAATAGGCACAGACTGTGTCTCCTACACGTGAGGGACTTGCCAGTTCAGGAATAACACCACAATCAGACTATTGTCCATTTGTCAGTTTCCTCCATCTTTGCTTTACTCAAACTTCTAGCATTGTTTTAAACCACCACTTTACTCCTCTCAGTGTTCCTCCCTTCTTGCTCCCATGCCATGGCCACAGCAGTTGTATAGCCTGCCTTCATTTTTGTTCCCCTATCGTGCCCTGAGTTCATGCAAATCCAGGAATGTGATGTGGCACTACAGAACATCCAGTGGGGATTTGTGTGGTGACATTCTTACATTTTTATTATATAGAGAGATATACAGAGCTTGCATTTTCCCCAAGAAGTTCACCTTCTCACCCTCCCTTCCCCTTTTCCCTCACAGAAACCATGTGAAGTAGGGCTGTGTGTGCAAACACGCCAACTGGGCCCACCTAGGGAACACCTCCCCCAGATCCGACCCTGAATCAATGGCATAATTCAGGCTTTTAAAACTTTAATTAAACATATGGTTGGGAGGGGCAGAGAAGATGGAAACACTGTTTCTCCGCCCACCTCCCAACTGTACTATAAGTAGGAGGCATCAATCCTGCTGGGTGCTGCTTCACAATAACCTTCCCCATGGGGAATAATACCTGATCCTTGTCTCTTTTTAGAAGGCAGAGCCTCACAACTCATTCTGCTAACGGATGAAGAATAAATGGGAAATCAAGAGCAAATGTAATCCATGAAAGCAAGACAACAAACCAGTTTCCAATCATGCCATTTATTCTTCTTCTTTCTCTCTCTGTTTCTGATGTATATGAGGTCATATTTTGCCACCTTGTGCAACATCTCAGTGAGTTTCAAGATCTGCCAAAGAGAAACTTGGGATGAACTCTCTCCAGCTGCCACCCAACCCTGAACATCCAGAGAGAATTGTTTACGCAATATCTTCTCAAGCATATCATCCCATAACCAACTGTTGGCCACAGTTGACCAGGATTGTTAAGAGGTCAGACAAAAGCAACAGAGAGAAATAAACAGGGTCAGCCAAGGGAAAGTGTTAGTTGTGGAATGACACACTTAGGAAGCATTGTGTAAATAAGTCTCTTTGGCCCGACACTGCAGAGCGAATATGCTGGGAGAGTGGCAGCAGGCATCTAGGGTGGTGCTGAATATTTCCCCATATACCTTTTCAGGGGAAAAGGTGGGATTTCTATATGACCAAAATGTTCCCTGTGGAAAAATGAAACACCCACTTCTGAGACTATTTTTGCATCTGCTTGCAACCACTGTTTTCCCCGAACTCCTGCTGCTTCCTCCCCATTAGTTTAGGATTTCATTGCAATATGTGATCCCAGCCAATCAGGGATCCTGCACGATGTGATAAAGTCCTGGCAACACATGAATGATCCAATGTGCTCCTATGAAAACTTTACAGAGGGCAAACAAAGGCACTTGTATTGCTCTGACTCTAAATAGGCTTCAAAGAGGAAAGGAAAAGATAAGATAAGAAGAGTCCTGCTGGATCAGGCCAGTGACCCAGCTAGTCCAGCATCCTGTTCTCACAGTGACCCTCAAGCAGGACCCAAGCACAAGAACACCCTCTCCTCCTGTGGCTTCAGGCAGCTGGTAAATAAATACATACCACTTTGCAGTATGAGAAGACAGAGAACATTGGCCCAGTTGCCTTGGAGGCATGTTCCCAGTTCAAAGGAAGGTCTGCTCCTGCACATCGGGCAACACTTCCCCCCCACTTCCTTTGTCAGCAGCTGGTGAAAAATTGCCAAAAAGGGTGAATGTGAGAGCCATGGCGATATGTTTTTAAAGGGAAGAAAGGCACCCTTGTAGATATAGTTCTACTAATGGCAGCTTCAGATTTGGGGGAAGAAGATTAAGACATAGGGATGGAGGATAAATCCATTTGGTTTGCATTTTTATACATTTACTATTTATTTATTCAAGAAATGTTATTCCCTGCTTTCCACAATATATCTCAAGGAGGCTTAAAGGGGGGTGAGGAGAGAGAGAATAAAGCATACGGTATACAGAATTGAAAACATAGTCAAAACCACCAGAAAACAGAAACATTAGAGCAAGCTTCATAGTGCAAAGGTGCTCCTGAAATAAAACAGTTTTATTTATTAGGGAAAGTACGTGCCTGATTTCTTCTGGGAGGGGATTCCATAGAATTGGCATTGCTACTCTGAAGACTCCATGTGGACAGGAGTTGTGCTTCTGGTCCACTGGGGAACCATACATGGTGCTCCCATTTATGATCTTAGTGATGGACTTGGAACATACAGGGCAAGGTGGTCCTTAGGGGGGTCCTGGGTCTAAGTTGTTCATGGTTCTGTGCCCTAGTGGGAGAACTTTGAACCTGGCCCAAACCTAATTTGCACAATGTACTTCCTTGGACCATTACACAATTCAAAATGCAGCATCCCCATCTAGCTCAGTATTGTCTATACTGATCACCAGCAGCTCATGAGGGTTTCAGACAATGGTACCCACAGCCCTGCTAGGAGATGCCGAGACTGAACCTGGGACCTTCTGCATTCAAAGCAGATGCTCTTTCACTGAGCTACAGCCCTTCCCCATCAACAGATAGTTATATTATCCTAGGACTCCAGAATTTATTTCAACTTACTTGGCTTGCATATTGGAAGCTACATGGAACATACACTCAACAGAAGGCAATTTTACGGCACAACATTTGTACATGTGGCTTATAAAAAGCCAGTGACTCTTATGAACTGCAGGTAATATGCAAACACAGGAGCAACTCATTTACCTGAAAAAAGCAGAACAATAAACCTGTTTTATTGTGCCACCTTTCTTATCTAATTACAGCATAGTTAAAGAGTTATGATTTGCACTCTGCTGTTAAAAAACAACAGAGACAGATGAGAGGGTTGATCACCTGAAACAGAGACTTCCCCTTTCCCCAGTGCTGCTAAGGAGACAGGATGATGAAATAGGACTTTGTTTGGTTCTGTTTTTTCCTTATAACGGCAGGTGCAACAGCAGCATGGAGAGGGGATGCCATTGATTTGGAAAGAAATCTATAGGTGGAATAAATAAACCTATAAATGCCACTATGCCCAAATCATCTCCAGAGCTTTGGGGGTAGTTTCCTTCAGTTAACAACAAAATAAGAATGCATTCAAAAATGATCAAAGGGGAAAATCAGGTTTTGGTGAAAATCTCATGGGGGGGGGGTGCCTACCTTAATTTCATGATAGCCGGGGGTGTGGAACTTGGAGCAGGGCAAACACTCCAGTTTCAGTTTCTCTCAAGTTTTCATTTTCACAATCTGTTTTCCTTAACAATACAAATGAAAGAATAAGACAAATCAAAGAGAAAAAGAAAGAGTAGCAATATGTCACAGCCAGAGCTGGTGTTACCATTAGGTACACCAAGGTGACTGCCACAGGTGGTGGGATCCTGCTAGGATCCAGAGGAGGCAGATCCCATTACTCTGCCTGCCTGCCTGCCTGCCTGCCTGCCACTGAGCCCATCCACAGCCACCACTGCTGGAGAACTGAGGAAAGGTGGCAGAGCAGCAGAATCCCACCTTTGACAAGGGGGACGGGAAGCAGCAATTTCCTTTTCTGCTTCAGGTAGCAAAATGGCATGGGCTACCCCTGACCATAGCAGTATCATACAGTCACAGTAAATACAGCAGTTATACAACTAAGGGTGCATTCACACACAGGGAATATTGTGTTAGTTTTCTGGATTTAAATGCTAGTGTTTCTGTCCCATTTTCTAATGTTCCTTTCACATTGCAGTACCTGTCACATTACAAAACTGTGGCTTTTTCTCCTTTATACCAGCATGTCACACTAACTTTCATTTGCACCAGGAGGTGTGGTGTCACACAACAGCGGACATCATCAGAGGGCATCACTACTCCCCCACTATTTCGGCACGTGTCTGTTTCCCCCATGGCAACAGATGAAAAGAACCATATGCCAGTATACACCCCCAAATTTTGTCACTTTATTCTCATGATTTTGTGGGTTAATGGGGTTGCAAAGGTATTGTTTCTGGAACCAATTAACATGGAAATGAGGAGTAAACTTCCACTTATATTCCACTAGATTTCCAGAAATGGCATTTACATTGTGTGCATGCTCAAATATAATACAGAAATTAACACTTGGAGAAATGCTGTGGAAATGGAATAAACTTCCATATGAATGCAGCCTAAAGATGGGAAGGGGGTCTGGTGGGCAAGGGAGGGAGGAAAAACACGTAGGGGATAAGCTACGGCAGAACCTGCTAGGCATATATTTCATGCAAACAATTCAATGTACAGATCCCAAATGTCCAAGTCGTTATTTCAATGACCGCCTGCTAAATGTAGCTTTTTCATATGCTGCAAGAGATTAGTTTTCTAACAACTGAGGAATGGGTAGGGGCATATATGTTTCTTCCAATGTTACAACACCAGCCTTTTGGCCACCAACAGGGCAAATAGGTCAGTTCTCCACATTCCAAGAACACTCCATGAGTTGGTAAGGTTTTAAAGACCTTCTGTAAATTATCAGCATTTTAGAGTGAATTTCACCTGATATACACACATATCTATACAATTTCCCCTATTCACATTTTGGCAAAGCAACTTCCCCTAATATAATACATTATTGGATGTTCTTTTCACTGATACATGCATTTATATGTACACTTCAGTATATGCATTTTGTGTACATGAGTTGACTGGAGAGCTGCATTGCAAAATTCTGAGAAGTGTGGATTTTGAAGGATGGCTGTTTTTCAGTTTGTTTTGGAAGGTGCAAAGTAGGCAAGTTCACTGTTAAATGAGAATTGAATCAGATTTCTCCTCCATTCTGGTGGCTGTCCTTTCTTCATTGTAGAAATCATGTCTCAGCTGGTCTTCACTCTGCAGCCTCCCTGGGTGTCCACATTTCCTGAAAAACCCATGATGTCCTTGGCTGATCTTTCCTCTAAATAGAGGAAGGCAGGGAAACTGGCAGACACATGCTTGACAGATGCTCATTTCTTTTTTTAAAAAAAATGAAGGCCTTTTGCTTTTCAGAATGGTTCAGAATAGTGCAAGAATAATGAGCAAAAGTTTGGAGCAAGTCGCCACTTAGGAAAGGGGAGCTTTGGGAGCTTTTTAGTTTGAAAAACAAGGCAAGTTAAAGTGGAACCTGATTGAGGTGCATACCATTATGCATGGTGCAGAGAAAGTGGCTAGGAAAAGGGTTCTCTCTCTCATGATATCCCAAGGACTGTCACATGGAAGAGAGAACAAACTGGTTTTCTGCTGTTCTGGAAGGTAGGACTCAAGCCAATGGCTTCAGGTTACAAGAAAGGAGATTCTAACAAAACACCAGGAAGAACTTTCTGATAGTAAGAGCTGTTCAACAGTGGAATGGACTCCCACGGGAGGTGGTGGCCTTTCCTTCCTTGGAGGTTTTTAAGCAGAGGTTGCGTGGCCATCTGTCATAGAAGTAGAAGCAGAAGCAGAAGCAGAAGCAGAAGAAGAAGAAGAAGAAGAAGAAGAAGAAGAAGAGGAATTTGGATTTGATATTGCGCTTTATGACTACCCTAAGGAGTCTCAAAGCGGCTAACAATCTCTTTTCCCTTCCTCACCCACAACAAACACTCTGTGAGGTGAGTGGGTCTGAGAGACTTCAAAGAAGTGTGACTAGCCCAAGGTCACCCAGCAGCTGCATGTGAAGGAGCAGAGACATGAACCCAGTTCACCAGATTACAAGACTACCACTCTTAACCACTCCACCACATGCTTTAGCTGATATTCCTGCATTGCAGGGGGTAGGACTAGAGCAGGCACCCCCAACCTTTGGCCCTCCAGAAGTTTTGGACTACAGTTCCCATCATCCCTGACCACTGGTCCTGTTAGCTAGGGATCATGGGAGTTGTAGGCCAAAACATCTGGAGGGCGGCAGGTTGGGGATGCCTGGACTAGATGGTCCTCAAGGTCCTTTCCAACTCTATGATTCCATGATTGACCTGAACCACTTGGCTTGTCTCACATTCATAATATGCAGGATTTCTCCTTCACCTTTATGACTCTGGTGGCATTTTTTATATATATCTTCCTGCAATCTTTGCTTCCCACACCTGTCTCTTTTGTTAGGTGGTGTTTTGTTTCAAGTCTCTTGCTTGAAGTGCTACAGCCTTCTGAACCAGAACAGAGCCAGTAAAATTGAAAGAAGACCTAATTAAGGGATATAACATTTGAGATTTTCTCCATTTAAAAATTTTGGCTAATGAAATCCTGTTTCACATATTTCTATCTTGCCACCTCACTCCTTAGATGCTGATTTGGTATATTGTTGAATTCCCTCCCAGGCCACAGAGAGGAAGCAGTCAAGACTTCCACAGACTGAAAAATGGTTTCTAGCTCTATTGTGTTAATCACCTTTGAGAATTCGAAGGGGTAGAGGCTGTTGTTCCTGTTATCAATGCCTTCAGTCCAATTAACCCTTCCATGCTAGATCACGTCATGATGCCTGGAGCAAATTCCAGGGCTTCGGAAATAAAATCCAGAGTCCAGATATCATTTCCATATGTGCCTCCTTATAACTAAGCAGCTTTACTTCCCTACTCCTCAATTCAATATCCCTTTTTTTCTAAAAGGGAAAAAAGTCCTTTACAGTATTTGTGCAAGCACTAAACACAAAGAATATGGGCATTATTTTCAGAAGTCTGTCTGAAGAAGCGGGGGGGGGGCTTTTAGGTTGGAGGGGGTTGCTTATTTGTTTAGTGTTTTGCTCAGCACTTTATCTTGAATGTGCAGAGCTCTCTGCTCCAGTTCCTTGTCCCCCTCCTCTTTCCTTTCATGACAGCATTTGAACCCGATTCGTAGTTCACGTCCCTGTAAGTCTTGCACAGTTTTAATTCCCCTTCTGTCTCCCTCATTTATCTCCTTCCACTCTTTCTCCTGGAATTTAAATCTCAGAGTTCCTTTTGCACTAACCTGCCATGCAACAATGACAGCATAATTCTACCCCCCCTTTCTTTAAAGAAAACACACACACATGAACACTCTCTGTTAACATAGCAGTCACTAGCAAAACTCTGTCAAGTCTGGGCTTTTGCGAAAAGCAGGAACTAGGGGCATCTGTTCTGGCAAGCAAGGGGCATGATCAGAATTCAAAGTTATATCCTGGCCAGGCAAAAATACATGGCGTAGAAAGCAGAGCCAGAGAGGGGTGTGGCTTAGGGAGAGTTCTGAGGGCCAGATGGAGAGACTTGGTGGGCTGTGTTTGGCCTGCAGGAATATGGTTTCCCACCCCTGGTATACGCAGTCTGCATTAGCTCAGTGGTCTCTGTCCAAGAATGAAATTTGTAGTTCAAGCCTCAGAGTGCTGTGGAAGAAACATATACAACTCTCTCTTTTTTTGTGTTTTAAGCTCCTCATTTATTAAATGATAGGCATTAATGATTTCTCCCCCCCTTTTTTTAAAGAAATGAAATTTCATTTTTGCTTCCAAAAGACTTTAGTACTTAAGATCAAACTGACGGCAAACTATCATCTTTGTTAAATTACTTTTTCAATAGCAGATGATTTATAGCTGATTAGCTAATTAAAT